ATCTAACGAGGAGCACTGACCTTCAGCTGATCATCTAACGAGGAGCATCTCGTGGACTCACGTGGTCTGATCATTGGTGAACTCCAGCTCTCCTCGCGCCTCCTCGTAGTCCTCCCCAGCCTTGGCGGTGCCGCACTCCGTGTAGTACGGCAGGATGACGGTGCCGCGAGCGCCTGAGTTCCGCACCACCGTCACCTCCATGGTTCCCACGCTCTCGCTCACACGCAACGTGCGCTCGCTGAACGTGAAGATGCCGGCGTGGTCGTCGTCCAGGATGGTCACCGTGGCAACCAGGGGCTCGACCAGGCGAGCCTTGGGAGCGGCGCCCGCCTCGTCGCTTTCAAACATCCCCTCGGCGTCACCGATGCGCAGGTTGAGCAGCCGGACGAAGAAGTGCTCGTCTTCTTCAAATATGTCGTCGTCGATTATCCCGACCTGCAGACGGATGAGAGCGAACGTTAAAGATGAACTTTATTTGTTCGAACTGCTCCGGCTTTTTGTTGACCGTCTTTTGAACATTTGTTCCAACTTTGTTTCGCTCTTTTAAAGATCTTTGTTCAAACTTTGCTGCTAAAAACCATGGCCTGTTCTCATGTTGGTGACTTTAAAATGTGACTTTTAGGTTGTGCATATTATTATGCTGCTCCTAACTCCTCCCACAACATAACCGTGAACCGCCCCACGTTTACGGTTCAGTCTACTGAGGACACATGAGAAATGAAGGCAGGCACAGTCAAACTAGTTTGTAAAATAGTTATTAACTATATTTTGAGAGGTCTTTAGACAATTCAGTTCAGTTTATTTATAAAGCGCCAAGTCACAACAGAAGTCGACTCAGGGACTGAACAGCAACATTCATATAAAAATAATAATTTAACGTTATTTATCTGAGGAGCAGCTTTGAGTTTAACTCCATCACAGAACTATCATCTTGAGCAAACATGAAGGCGACAGTGGAAAGGAAAACTCCCTCATGAGGAAGAAACTTTTAGCAGAACCAGGATCAGGACAAGAGGACCATCTGCTTCAACCAGCAGGGTTTGAGAGGAACAGATACACAATGGCAGGTCAAGAATCACATGTTAAGATAGAAATAGTATCAAATGAAAACTATTAAATTTTAACAATTCATTTAAGGAAACGAGGTCAATTTGTCCTCTAGTAGTCTAAGCAGCATAACAAGTCAACCCTAACTATAGGATTTATCATAAAAGAAAGTTTTAATCTCCGTCTTCAAACTGGACCATGTGTCAGCCTCACGGACAGAAACTGGAAGTTCCACAAGAGAGGAGCCTGAGAACTGAAGGATCTTCCTCCCATTCTGCTTTTGGAAACTCTAGGAACCACGAGTAAGCCTGCAGTCTGAGAGCGAAGTGCTCTGTTAGGAAAATATGGAACAATAAGATCTGTAATATAAGATGGAGCTAGGTTGTTGAGGGCTTTGTAGGTTAGAAGTAAGATTTTGAATTCAGTTCTGGACAGTGCAGGCTGGAGCCGCAGATGTATAATTTTTTCATATATTTTTTTGTGTCTATCTTGCATATCTTTCCTGCAGCCATCCTGTTCAGAACTCTGTTCTTGAACCTCCGTGAAGTAAAGCCCGTCTCCCGCACCGGGGCCAAAGTCTCAGGTCCAGTTTATGTGAAACTGCAGCGTTTCTGCTGCGTTTCAGAAACTGAAACTTTTCAACAGGTGCCGGTTTCTCAAACGTGAAATCGCTGAGAACGGCAGCAGTTCGTGCGAGCAGACCAACTGTAACAAAGGTGCGTGTCGCTGAATACAAGAATCAACGCCAGGAGTGACCCGACATGAGAACTCAACATTTCGCCTGAAAAGTGAGGGCGATCAGAGCACCGCTGCGTGCACGTGTAACGTTTCTACAAGCAACACCTGAAACTCTGCAACGTTTCCAGCAGATCGTTCACAAGTCTTAAAGACTGAGTTTTAAGCAGCTGCATTAAGTTGAACCCAGTCTGATGGACTCTGAGTCACCAGTGCTGTCAGGCGGCCAGCCGCTGGTTTCAAACACATCCATAGTGGAACCTCAGTTGTTTACATCACTGAACTAAACAGCTGTTTGTGTGAGAGAAAAGGCAACAGTGGCAACTCTTTGAAGGTCATCAAACACAACGTCATGCTTTGATTGGTCTGTGTTTTAGAGAAGAAGTTTCCTGAGGATCAATGTCTCTTATAGAAGCTCATCAGAGAGCTGGAGTCGGTCCTCTCACTGCTCTCACAGCAGCTGTAAGGACAGATGGATCAGTGAAAACAGATTTCAGACATGCTGATCTCTTCTCTCGGACATGAGCTGCCGTGTTCAGCACAAGTCAACGTGAAAGTCCACCCTGGAGACATGACCCTGAAAACCTAAACCTGACGCCACCCGATAGCTTCACATCCGGCCTCCTCGCTCGGACGTCTGGTTTCATCTTCCAGGAGGTGCGTGGAGCAAAGCGCAGCGCCCGAAGCTCTCGAGGGAACTCACCTTGATCTCTTTCCGAGTGTCTCCGGGTTTGAACACCAGCGTTCCCTCGCTGTAATCATAATCCGACCCGGCGTTGGCCGAACCGTCCTCAGTTCTGTAGTCCACATAGAAGGTGTTCTCTTCAAGGCCTCCTAAACCGCACAGATAAAATATTGTAAAGTCAAGAACTTTAGGAACTTTATGCTGGATTGAACACACTTCTGCTTCTGATGAGGAAGTTATTAACAGTTTATTAAGAAAAATTAAAACCTCACACCAACAAATGAAGATTAAATGTAATCCAGAGTGAGCATGTCTTTGAAAATTACTATTTGCATTAAAGTAATTAATTCAGATTAAACATTTCTCACATATATTCTTGTTTCTTACAACAATATATGTGATGTATTACAACAATATATATAAATGACAATAAAGGGATTAAAATAGGAATAAAAATGTATTCTTATATCCTGGTATACATTAATTTTTATACTTTTTTTGTGTTGGAAAGTTTTAAATGCTATTTTCTGTAAAAAATTCAGAGTGAATACTGAGTGCCGAGTTGTTTGAGTTAAAAGATGCAGAATGAAGCTAAAGCCTGCAGAAACAATAAATGTATCAAAATGAAAGCTAAAATTATTGTTATTATCATTTAGCACAGTTTTTTTTTTTTAATGGGGGCCGCGGCCCCCTGGGGGGCCACCAGGGGGCACTAGGGGATGCCCAGAAAGCTGGAAAGAAAAAGATAAAAAAAAAAAAAAAAAAAGCAAAATAAATAAATAAATAAAATAGTAATAATAATAATAAACATTGTCCACTAGGGCAATCTGTATCTGTCATTTCCAGATAAAGACGCTTGAGAGAGAAGTTAGATTTATTTTGTTTTGTTCTTCTGGTCAACAGTTTGTTGAAACGTTGTTTTTTTCAATGGGAATGTAAAACAGTGTTTAAAACGTGTTGGTTAATAACATTTTTATGCTCAGCAGTAATAATTAATTGTATATAGTGAATAAAAGTTAAAACAATCTAAAAGCTGATGTTTCTTTACATATTTTGTAGCATTGTTCGTGGGTTTGCGGGGGGGGGCACGTTCATGCTGTTTGGGGGGGGGGCATGGCATGGAAAAGTTTGGGAACCCCTGATTTAGCGTACTGTATATCATAGATCCTTGTATACTGTTTCTTTTTCATACTTTTGCTATTTTTGGGTGTAACTGGGACCTTCAGTACACAATTTCATTCCACCTCATGCACCACATGTGATGCGAATGACAATAAAGAACTTTGGACCTAAAGGTTAAAGGAAGCAAAAGGCTCACTAGAAGCTAAAACTAGCAAAAGACTGGCTAAAAAATAAAGTATCAAAAGGGTAGCTAAAGGCTAAAAGGAGCAGAACAGCAGCATCAGAAGACAAAAATAGAGTTGGTTTATTGAAGCAGGTTGTTATTGAAGGAATGAGGCTTTAATGTACTTCTGTGGAGAAAACGTTTAAAAACCTTAAATATTTTGAAAAGTTACAAAAACCTGAACGAGCTGAACGTGCTGACGTAAGATGGTTAAGGAAGCACAAAGTGAGCAGAAGTCGCTGACTTTCCAAAACGGAAAACTGAACAAAAAACAGGAAAAGAAGGCGTTGACACGCTGCGACTCGTCTCCGCTCTACCTTGACAGACGACGGCCAGAGTGAGGGTCCCGCAGTTCTCCATGCACTGACTGTGGGCGCTCTCAAACGAGATGTGGCTGCAGACGGCCAGGTCGTCTTCCTCCGCCGCCTCCTCGTCTGTGGCGGCGGCGCGGCGCGCGTGGTCGGCGGCGTGCTTCTTCAGGACGTTCCCGGCTCCAATCATCATTCGAGTCGCCTCGAGGTAGAAAGACGAGAGGAACGGAAATCGTTAGGAGCTCATTTCAAGTTATGAATCACGCTTCTAAAACAAAAGCTTTGGTTAATTAAACTAATATGCATGTTTTTGTGGCTCCCGCTCTGTTTGACAGCTGCCCTCAGAGGCTGCTGGACGGGCGACAGGTGCGTTACCTGGACGCGGTAGAAGGCTCTGCTCTTCTGCTGGTGCAGCAGAGCGTAGTAGTTGGCCAGCTCCACCAGCTGGTCCAGCTCTTTGTCAGGATATTTCTGCTTCAGCTCCTTCAGGATGCGAATCACCTGCAGGATGAAACACAAGCACGTTTCAAGATTTACACTAAACATCACGAGTAAACAAACTCAGTGCCCCGCCTCCTTAAAGTTGCACGGAGCCGATAATTTACCAGGCTGAAGATTCAAAGTGAAATCGTGGTCCGAAAAATCTTTAGTTTGCCATTTTTACAACGACTGGACACATTTTCATTGTTTTTAATCCGATAAAAGATGAATCTAAATTTCAGAAAATAAAACAACGTGTGCATCCATTTCTGGATTGATGAAACTGGAAGTGATTCATGACTTGATGAGGTAACTGTGCAGCAACAAGGCAGACCATCACCAAGCTGCGACTGTTGGAGACCAGCCGGTGACTCAGTGTGTGAGAAAACATAAATGTTCAGCTGTGGTCTCCGAACCGAGTGTTTGTGACCAAGTGACTGTTTTACTGCATTTTGTGAACAAAATAATAAAGCTGCGTGTGCAGCTTGCAGCACTGTTGGGACATGCACCTTGTTTTAATGTCCACCTCCACTGCATCCTCCATGGTGACCACTCCCATGATTACCATTATGGTTTAATCAACTGGAGTGCTCTTCAGAAATGAAGACAGGCAGATTTGAGTCACGTTTCAATAACCTGTTTTTATCATCAGTGTGGTTTTGGGACCTGGACATTCTGTTGCCTTGCGAGTTGTCCGTCAAAGGAGAACTCTTCTGTAACTATTTTGAGGGTAAATTTGTTAAACCGTTCACCAGTTAGTTGCCAACAGATGCAAAGTTTAGTTCTTGATATGGGAAACGTTTAAATTAAATTTGTATGAAAAGGTAAAATAAACATATGAATTGGGAGCAAGTCTGGCCGAGCAAGCTGCTGCTAGATGTTTTCCCAGGACTTAAGAGATTATCATGGATCACTGCGCCCTCCACTTAAACAATAAGATATTTCACGACATGTTTTGCTACAGAATTATGATTTTAGGTTAGGTTGATGAGTCTGTCCAGACTTTTCTTAATCTGATTATTAGGATGAGCTCATAAATAGGAAATATTAACAACAAACAATATTCAACACTGAATGTTGGAGCAGATTCTCAGTCGTCAAAGGTTCAGTCAAATCAGGTGGACTCCTATGAGATGCTTCAAGATGTTTCGCTTTTCATCCCATGAGCTTAATGAACTGAGGAAGCTCCTGAGATGAAGGAGGAACGTCTTCAGGAATCAAAAAGAAGTCCCGTTTCCTTCGATTGAACTTGCGAGAGGTGAGCTCCTTCATCTTCCCAAAAGAAAAAAAAATATAATTAAAAACAGACTGAAGGAATGTTGAGTGTGATACAAGTAAAAACCAGAATGGAAAGCTGGTACATTATTGAAATCCCTGGTAAATAATAAATATAGACCTTAATCTGACAGTAACTACAGTTGTTAATGGATTCTTTCTCCTTTCCCTGAGCAGCTCTTTGTGTCTCACCTCTTTGCGGCTCTCGTCCAGCTCCTTCCCGCCCTCCATGTTGACCATCGTGCTGCTGGAGTTGGGTAGGTTGCTCCCTGTGGCTCCCGCTGCCGCACCGAAGCTGTTGGTGGCGGCTCCCGCTGTGCCATCCTGAGCGCCGCCCCCACAGTTTTCAGCTGGAACCATGGCGCCCCCTCCAGGTGTGAGTTTGCCATCTATCATCAACTCCATACCGCCCTTGCTGGGGGTCAAGTCCCCCTCGGTTTCCACGACGATGCCGTGGCGCTTGTCAGCACGGTAACGCTTGCCCATGTACTTGTAGAAAAGCAGACGGCGGTCGGCGATCCAAGCCAGGATGACACACACTGGGAAGAAGAGCAGCGTCACCAGGGCTTCCCACACCTGAAACGCAACAAAACAGGGCCTTCTGTAGCCTGTATCACATGACCAGAATGTTGTTCATCACACACAACGTTTTATTTACAAATTTTAATACAACCGCTTTTATGAGACCTATTGATAAGTTACATTGAAAGTAGACAAAACAAATAAACAAACAAACAAACAAAAACCCAAACAGTTTTTTACAGTCTGGTGGGGAGGTAGTTAGACTAAAGGAATCTTTGAATAGACTGAAATAGAACTTAGGACCAAGAACAGAGCCTTGAGGTATTCCTAGGATGACTGTAGCTGTAGAAGAACATAATTGACCAAATCTGTCATGAATATCCCTCCACTTCCTGCTCATCCATGGTCTGTTTGAGTCCAGGAGGAAAATCCTAACCTTCCTCTCCCCAGTGACACTCTGCAGCTCCTTCTGGAGGATCCTGAGGTGTTTCCAGGCCAGAGGAGACATATAGTCCCTCCAGTAAATTTTGGATCTCCCCAGGTGTCCTTTTCCATTGGAAAACACGTTCAGAAAACCTTTAGAGGGAGTCACCCAGGAGGATGTATCTTTATCAGATGTCTGAACAACCTCAGCTAACGCTCTTTGATGAGGAGGAGCAGCTGTTCTCCTTCAAGCTCCTGATCTTATATTTAAGGCTGAGCATGGCCACCCTACAGGGAAAGCTCATTTCTGATGCTTGTATACAGGATTTTAATGTGTTGGTCATGATCCATAACTCATGACCATAGGTGAGGAACCAGTTTATAGAAAGCTTTGCCTTTTAGCTCAGCTCCTTCTTCACCATGACAGACCAAAGCAACACCCTCATTACTGTGGACGAGATCCTGATACGTCGACCCATCTTTATCTCCCTCAGGAACAAGTCTCCTATTCTCCGCTTGAGGCAGAGCCTCCCCTTCAACCATATATACAACAGTCCACCTTTTCCAGGTGGAATACGACCTCAGACTTTGAGGATCTGACTTCTGTCCCAGCTGCTTCACACTCGAACCAGCCCAGTGCTTCCTGAAGCTCACGACTTGAACAGAACCACATCATCCACAGAAAGCAGAGACCAGACCCTGAGGTTCCCAAACGATCAGGAGCAGGGTCAGATCTACTGAACATTCAGGACTAAAACCCGTTTGTGTTGGTATCACACAGAGGTGAGACCAAGGCCGGATTAACCATATGGGCAACTGGGCAAGTGCGCAGGGGCCCACGATCTCTAAGGGGCCCAGGGCAGTGAGGGCACAAGCAAAATATCTGGTTATTTCCTGCTTTACATGGAGCCCCCTGCGCTGCACACGGAGACCGCTGCGCTCCCGCTTCATTTGGGCCGCCCGGCCTCCTCCCAGCGCGGCTGCTGCAGCTCTCGTGGTTTTTTTTTTTTGCATTGAGCGAGATCCTCGACGGCGCAGCCTGTCAATCAATCCAGTAGGCGTGTCAGTAACTGACCAATCAACGACCTCAATGTGTCCCGAAGGTAAACGCCCCTTACCTGCTGACAATCCCATCAGTGTTTTTTTCTAGAACTTTATTAACAACACCAAACAGAACAATGCAACAAAATATAAATGCAAACTCGTGAAGGGTGTCATAACTACATTTCAAACAATAATGAAAGAGAAAAAATAAACGCAAAAAAATTAAATAAATAAAAAACAAAAGGAGCGCAACTATTGGAAAACATTGTTTTAATTAAAACAATAAGTTTTTATCTGTTGTGAGATGATTCTAGCAGTTTTTAATCTACTTAATGAAGAATGATATGACTTAAAATCGTTCATAAAACAGGAAGGAGGGCTTATTATCCTTCTTACTACAGTGAATGTGGTACTTTGCTATAAGTACAACTATATTTATGGCATCAGAGAAAGCTGAGCTTAAGTTATCCACATAAAGTAAAATGTCATCAGCATCAAATGAAGGAATTTTAAGTTTGAGATTAATCCAGTTTCTGATGTCTGACCAAACACTTTGTATTGACATATTTTTTTTTAATGCTCGAGGGATTCATCTTGTGATTTTGTAGATGAACATATGCATGAGATATATTCATAAATTAAACGGATTCTTTCATTTTTCTGGACCGTATATAATGTGCATTGAATTTAGAAATGTAACGTGAGACGTTAATTATCTTTGACTCACCAACGACAGTGGGTCATTTATTAACAGAATCAAAGTTTAACACATCACACATTTACATTAATTGGCAAAATATGGAAAATAACAACATGGCTAATTCTAGCAAGCTGTACAATTTTGATTGACCACACGGCGGTGGTTGAGAACTTTACACAGACATTTCTAAATTATCTGGAATGATTTCTACCTGATAGAAGAATTTTAAAGATGGAAAGATGAAGTTTAGAGGGAGAAAAAGATGGGTGAGGGGGTTTGTTTGTGTTAGCATCAGAACAGCACTCTCCGGGTTTTTCTCAGCTTCTTCCCCAGTACACTTAGGTGGTATAAATCAACTCTTTTACCTGGAGATGTCTCCACTGGTACGAAAGTCCATTCAACGCACCCTTTCAGCGTCTCCGTAGGAACAGCTGTGAATCGTTCGAAGTAGTGACGGTACTTATTTGACACAAATTCACCTCACGAGTGGACTTCACATGAGTGGAGTCCGTCAGAGTTCCACCCAGAGGTGGAAGATGTTATAATCCCATAAGACTCGGAAGAGCTCTGTGGTCATGTCAGGATTTTCCTGTTTCCCAGCACGGGAGCTGCAACGACTGAAGCCGGAGCCTGAAGCGACTGGACTTCTGCAAACTCTCCACCCGACTCTCCTCGACACTTTCTTGAACTAGGAAGTACCGACATTTTAAAGAGCTCTATTTCCGGTTCATTTGGGAGTTTCTGATTGGTCAATATCGACCAGACAGGGGTGTGTTTTGTGACGTAAGAGGTCACTAGGAGTCAGAAAAACAGCAAGAATGTTATGGAACAGATTGAAAATGTTTTAGAGACAGAGAGAGAAATGTTTGGACGAGTTGGCGGAAAACAGGTGCCAACAGGTGCCAGCTTCTCTATTTACGTCTGAGAGGATTTAAAAACATGACAGCTCGTTCCAACACTTGTCTGCGTTTGACTCCAACCTTGGACCAACTTACCCTGCTCATTCAAAGACAGAAAATCAGAAAATGCATAATTACTCTGTAACAGACCTTAACATGAATTCTAACTTTGCATGAGGATTAAAAATCATTGTTACTGTTTCACAGTTAATTAAAAATGATTAGTTCACTGTAACATCTAAAATGGTTTGAACTAAAAACACTTTGATTATCAAACATTTGTAAAATAGTAATGATAATAGAAAAGTAGTCTTCTTTCACTTGATTAATTCAAGAAAGAAAGTCTCAGGATGGGTCCACCTGTATTTCTGGATTCAAATCAATGAAATGACAGTTTCTGTCCCATATGGTCCTTAAGGTCAAATCCTGACCTTAGGCCTAGTTCACTACAATTTACAAAAGGCACACAAATCAACATCAAATTTAAATCATCTTTCAAGAAACATGGCTACAAAATGTATCTTATTTATTATTTTCAAATGATTCTCTTTCACTTTAGGAGATTTAGGCCATTTGATAAATTTAGAATGAGCAGAAATCATTATATGATTTATATTAGGAGGTTTCTTAAAGGAATCTTTGTTATAATCAGTAAACTCTTTGTTGCAAACATTCATTGAAAATCTTATGAATTTGAAATCAACTAAGTTACAGTCATTTAATTTTAATGTGGGAATCAAATCGTGACCTTTGAATATATAATGATATTTTTAATTAATTGAATCAGCTGTTGGTCAGGTTACTTCTTGTTGTGCCATTAGCTCTAAAATATTTATTGAATCAAGTGTTTACTTGTGTTTGTAAAACTAGATGTTTAACAACCAGTTAAAATACACCAGAATGCAGGAAATGGCATCTACTTTATTCAAAATTTTCAGGGGGAGGACCCCCAGACCCCCCCCCTACCTTTTTGTTTCCCCCCCCCCCCCCCCCCCCCACCATCACATTACAAATGCTTCTGACTCTAAAGGCCAACATGTTGCTAAACAAGTACACACATGGTGTCATGTGGTGTTCAAGGTACGCTCAACTACAAGAGGACATGGCTTTTATAGTTCTATGAGCATTTGGATTTTTATACATAAAAATATACTTGATAGTTGGAATTTTAAGTATATTTACTATGTATTATGGTTATTTATTCTGTATTTTGCCTGATTATGGTGATTCTGGGGTCGTGATGATGGGGCCCTTGAAGATTGTTGCCCAGGGTACAGCGACGTGTTAATCTGGCCCTGGGTGAGACAGCTGACGCTGCACCTAGTGCGGACTGTTAAAAAGACACACGCGTGTCTTCCTACCGTCCACCTGCGTTGACTCACCTCCACAATGCCCGGAGATATGATGGCCAGGATGAGGTAAAGCCAGATGTAGGCAAAGATGCTCCAGAAGGCGGTGATGAAGAACACCCTGAGATGCTTGATTTTACGTGACTGGCCGTCCGGGATCACCCACACACAGATCCCAATGATCACAAACATGTTGAAGGCGGCGCTGCCAACGATGGTCCCCGGACCCAGCTGACCGGCCTTGAATTCATGACCACACACCTGCAGAGGTTCAGGTGGTGGTGGGGGGGGTCAGCAGGAAAGAGAACACAGATTACAAAAATGGGAATAAAAACAGTCCCATACAGCGGTTCTAGTGAAGGTGACGGGGTTTGAACGGTGGTTAAGTGGAGCGGGGGTGTTTACCTCTATGACAGACAGCAGGATCTCCGGAGCGCTGGAGCCCAGAGCCATGAGAGTCAGATTAGAAACCGTTTCATTCCAGATCCGAACCGTCGCCACTGACGTTTCCCCGTTGGGCATAGTGATGGTCACCTCCTTCTCCTGCAGCCCACAAACACACGCAGCGTTGACCTCTGTAGCAGTTTTCATTTTATTTTTATTTATCCAGGTCGTCTCATTGAGCCACGAGAACTCATTTTCAAGAGAGACCTGTTTAGGGAGAAGATGGTGGGGGTTAAGGGCCTTGCTCAGGGGCCCAGGGTGGGGTGAATGAGGGTGGAGGGAGGTGTGGGTGCTTCACCTTTTCCACCCACATTTTTTTTATGTTGACGGTACCGAGAGTTGAACCTGCGACTTTCCGATCACAGGCCCATCTTCTAACCTCTGCGCCACCACTCCCCACGCATTCTGCAGCTTTTAGCTCGTGTTGTGCTTCTTTTAGCTTTAACAGCTTAGTTTCAAGTTTTTCACATGAAATGCAGTTTCTTTAGTTTCTTTTTGATAAATCAGAACACGCGTGGTTTAAATGAAATGATGAACGTAAGAAATCAGTGTTTGATTTTTTTCTCGGCCTGTTACACGACGCAGAACGTGGCATTGTTTGTAACGAAACATCCAATTTGATTTGACAGAAGAACAAGAAACAACTTAGATGAATAAAGGAAATAATATTTAATGTTTTGTATCAAACCTTTGATTTACAATAATCACATCGTCTACGAGCTGATTTTTCTTCTTCTTTCGGCTGCTCCTTCTTCAGGGGTCGCCACAGTGAACTAAGTCGCACGAAGACGTGGCAATTATTTTTACACCAGATGAACTTCTTGACGCTACCACAAACCACCGAGCTACCACACTCTGGGTGGAGCACAGCTGCCACCCTGGGCTTCCAGGGGAGCAGATGGTGGGGGTTAAGGGTTAAGAGCCTTGCTCAAGGGCCCAGAGTGGGAAAAACAAGAGTTGAGGCAGGTGTAGGTGCTTCACCTTTCCCACCCACGTTTTGATGTTGTCGGTATTGGGAGTTGAACCTTCGATCTTCCAATCACAGGTCCACCTTCTCTAACCTCTGCGCCTCCACTCCCTCCCACATCGTCTACGCTGATAAAAATCAATGTTTCCTTCTTTAATTGATGTTTTTAGGCTTCAACTACAAACTCTTTTATTTGTTTAGCTGTTTTTAGCTGTTTTTAGCAGCTAAAATGTGTTTCAGGAAGATTTAGGCCTGAAGTCAGGTGGTTAAAGTTAGACCAAATTTATGACCATCTGACCACTAACAGCCCAGTTATCATCCAAACAGAACCAGATCGATCTGTTGGCTGTTTTTATCATCAGCTGCTGATTCACCGCTTCTCCACCATGCAAGGATCCTTCCAATAAGCAGAACCTTTTGGACCTGATCCGGGCTACATTTGGCAACCTCAGCTCACTCAGGACACTGAGGAGTAAAAAGAGCCAAGCATAAAAAACAAACAAACAAACAAACAAAACAACAACAACAACCTGGGCGGCTGTAGCTCAGTGGTTTGAGCAGGCAGCGTCCTCCAACAAGAGAGTCAAAGGTTCAACTCCACCAAGTGTCTCTGGGAACGACACAATCTCGCCTCTCCAGATGTATCTGACCTGCAGATCTCCAGCCCCTCCTGCTCCCTCAGATCTCCTCCTCCTCTCTGGCCGCTCTGCTCCTCGACTCCGGACCCTCTGACCTACGAAACGTCACCTCCTTCTGTTCAGAACTGGTCTGAATGTGTGTGTGCTTGTTTATACTTGTTTATGTTACTTTGTGAGGACCAAAGCCCGGTCCCCATAAGGTTCAAATGTCGTTGGTGGGCTAGGGGTTTGGTTTCGGGTAAGGGACAGGGTTAGGCTATAGAAATTAATGAAAAATGAACGGAAATCAATGCAAAGTCCACGTAAAGATAGCAAGACAAATCTGTGTGTGTATGGTAACACCACCAGGAAATGCAGAAGATACATTTGTAAACACCAGAAGACCACCTGTCACATGTCGTGCAGCACCCCAACATGCTGGTCCTGAGACTAACCAGGTCCTGCTGCACAGAGCTGCACTGATGGATTGTGGGAAACCCAAGTGGACAGTAATTTACCCTGACCTTGAAGAGGATGGAGGACGGGTTGGCCTTTTTAAATCTATTCTCCATCTTCCCATCACTCACAGCTGCCAGGCCTGTTATCTCCTTCTCCCTCCTCCCTTCATCTTATCTGATCAAATTTCCATAATGAGCAATCCCAGACTCTATTTCCTCGTTTTTATTGAGCCAAAGAGCAGAATGGAAGAACTCAGTTTCAGTTTATTTCTGTAGATCCAAGTCCCAACAGCAGTTATCTCAGGGCACTGTAAAAAATATTCACATATATTAAATACGACAATTACCGTACTTGCTGCCGTACACGTCGCACTACCATATTCATTCATTCAGCCTTTATTTAGACCCCATTGAGCCACAGGCGCTCATTTACAAGAGAGACCTGATAAGTATAAGTGTACGTAAAAGTCGCATCAGTCCAAATATGTTGAATAAAGTGGAAAAAAAACATAAATAAGTGGCATCGCAGTAGACGCTGCATCTATTATGTGTCACTACTGATGCGTTGCGTTTGTTATGCTTCATCGCTGAACACCTGGAAATGTGGGTTGGTGTTGTGCCAAAAATTGATTGGCTGCCAAATGGCAGCTGAGGGAGCGTGCACGGGAGGACTTTAACAAGAATTTAACAAGATAACCACCTAAATGTAAATGTGTGTCTCAGTTGAACTTTTCCTTAATAAATGCACTTTAATGGTCAAATCAGCTGCATTTCACCCGAGCGGCGCGAAGAAATGCAGATGATTTGACATTTGCTCCAGGAGTTCTGGAGCGAGATGAAGGTGGCTTGGTATGGCAAGCCAAGTGTCTCATTAATAACCACTTTCACCTATTAATGAGACACATGGCTTGTCATATTACTCAAGCTCCAGCTAGTGGCTGAAAATGGTAGTGTTCAATCTAAAAAAGTTAAGTCTGGTCCTTTGGACATTCACAAAAACAAAAATTGTAGAAACGTTTCGTCTCTCATCCGAGAGACTTCCTCAGTCTGAGGAGCTGTATTCAGTCAGTCTTATAAATAGCACCTTCTCAGAGTGGATTAACCAGTTTTGCTGCTGACAACCAAAACCAGCTGATCACATGGTCAAGAAGGACCATCAGCCTAACAATGGGTCATTAGCACACTGATGGCTGTTTACTGTTCACAGAGGGCTGAGTGATACTAGCAATCACAGCATTGTAAGGGGGGACAGTTGAACCTGGAGGCCTCCACCCCTGTTTAACGATGGACGGTGTCTTTTCGCAAAGATGGCCTCCTTTACTCCTCTCTCAAACCATCGTTCCTCTCTATCCAGGATGTGAACATCTTCATCCCTGAAAGAGTGACCGCTGGCCTGGAGATGAGTGTAGACCGCAGAGTCCTGGCCTGACGATGTTGATCTAACTCTGCGTCTCTTCTCTGTACAGGTCGCAGGCATGAAATTTATGCAAAAAGGTGCGACTTATACAGTGATAAAGTTCTCCATCTAATGAAGCAGATGATTGTGTTGGATCTTCACTCTGTCACAGTCTCCCATCCCGAGCGAGCACGAAGGAGACAGTGGAGAGGAAAAACTCCCTTTTGACAGGAAGAAACCTCCATCAGAACCAGGTTTAGGAGGAGGGGTGGGGTGTTCAGTAAAATGCTACCAATAATAAAGTTCTCACATTTTCAATCGTTCCAGTTTAAAGTGTCTGATGTTGCTGTTCAAACGTGAACATTGTTTTCACATTCCTCACCTACGAATGGATCTACTCATGGAAAATGACTTTGAAGACAAATGGTCGCTCTTTAGTTAGCGTTGGTTACGTGGTTGAGGCAAAACATGCCCTCTTGATAATTTATATATTTTTTCATTCTTTCTCAGGGTTAGTAAAGCTTTCGGATGAGAGGCGAAATGTCTTTTAGGATCTGAAACATGTCCCGCTCTCTTCCATCCATCCTGTTATGAAGAAACACCTGAAGGATACAAGTCGATTACTGGTTTCAACATAAACAACAACGTTAACGAGCCCACGTCCCCGTCACTGAGGCCTTCGAATGGTGAATGTTTGTAGTTTACATGATGAGGGTTTTTCTGGACTGGGACAGAGAACGAAGTAAACCTAAATGTTTTTATTCAAGGTGCTCAAGTGGGGAGGAGTTACACTGTGAAGAACAGAAGGTTTGTTTTCTTGTTCGAGAGCAGAGTGACGGATCTTTGCGAGTGGAAGGAGACATTTTATCCACCACGAGGTGCAGTGGAGGAGCCAGGGGGTGGCCAATGGTGGCCTTGGCCCCCATAGATTAATCTTAGGCCACCCCAATCATTTGAGGAAACTATACTTTTAATCAACATAAAACTAGAAAGCATAGTTTCCTCAAATGATCAGGGTGGTTGGTTTACATCTATATATGGCAGCAGCCATCTTGGATTTTGACGTGGCAACCCAGTTTTTAATAGTGAACTTTCTTACGCCTCGATGCAGCCACACACCAAAATGGAAGTCGGTACCACACAATTATTTTAACCCGTCCACCTCACAACACGGACGGACAGATGGACTGATTGACAGATGGACTGATGGATGGACAGATGGACGGACAGATGGAC